TATATATATATATATATATATATGCTTTCACAGTACTACCGGCCTTACCGAGTTATCGACTTCGTAACTCTCGATATCTCGCGCTCCCTTCGTTTTACAGGGATCTAGAACGAGAGAGAGCGCACTACTCTACGAAATGTAATAATACCATCTTTACCTTTCGAATTTATAGAAATCTGCAACGTTCAATTTTCAATACACATTTACCTTTCTCTTTCTCTCTTTTTCTCACTATACAATTCTATTATAGAGTCGATAACCATGTTTTCCAACATAATTATCAAATATAATCGACTTTTGAGGCATAATTATTTTCTAATTATTATGCAATCCTTTCCTTTTAATTTCTAATAGTCTCATTGCCTTATTACATTAACAAAAATGTTTATTTTCCTTTTAAACGATTTTGAAACATTTCACAACAACATATTAATTTTATTCTTCTATATACTTAAATTGATTGTAATACAATAAAAAGAAAATGCCTTATATATTTTATATGATTAGGTTTATGAGGAAGATGGCCTACCAAATAAAATTTGTTATCCGTGCAAATACCAGTTGGAAAAGTCGTATCAATTTAAAAAGAAATGTGAAGCGGTAGACGTAAAGCTTAGGTCACATTTAAAGATAATACGCAAATATTCCGAGCAAGATGAAGAGATGGACAATCAAGAGAGCAATACGGATGGTTTGAAAGAAGCATCGGGTAGTGGAAAATCTAAACAAGTTAAACAATTGTTAGCTGATTTAGTATCGACCAAGGGAACCGGAAGCCAAGCGGATGGAGATCCTATCGAAGTTACGGAAGAAGAATTAATTGGTGGATATATTTTAGGTATGTGATGATTATTGTGGAAAACTATTATTTAGATGATTATAATGTATTGCATTTTATTAATTTTGAGGACAAATTTTAGGTATGAATTCTGAAAATCCAGAAATGGATGAACCTATGTCGGAAGATCCAGAAAGTATTACATTAGTACCAGCTGAAGAAAGAACAGCGAAAGCTCGATGTACGATACGTACAACTAGGATTAAACAAGAACAAGAATCTGAAGATGAAGCTGAGGAAGTACAAAGAGCTATCGCTAATGCTGATCATAAAAATGTTTACATGATGGAGTTGACTAGTAACAGTACTGGTCAAGGAGAGTCATTGAAATTGCAACCGATAGGTGATACAATAGGTACATAGATTACATAACGAAGTATTTTGACTATTGAATAAGAGTAAACGAACAAAATAATTAATACGATTATTTTATTCTTTATAGTTGATCCAAGCACAGAGATAAAAATATTTAAATGTGATAAATGTCCAAAAGCATTTAATAGAAGAATAATGTTAAAGAGTCATCAATCTGTGCATTCTACTCAAAGAGGATATACCTGTCAAGCTTGTGAAAAATGGTTCCCTACGAGATCAGCCTTAGTAAGACACGAACGCACGCATACGGGTTAGTTTTAATATAATAAATATCTGTTATATTTTTTCTTTTAATATTACAAGACTTGATAAATTTATAAGTTTTGTATTATTTTCAGGTGAAAAACCATTTGGTTGCAATATATGTCACCGTGCGTTTGCACAGAAAGAAATATTACTACGCCATTTAATGACTCACTCTGGACAAAAACCATTCCAATGTCAACATTGTGAAAAGAGTTTTACCCAACGTGAAGCACTAAAAGTGCATATGCGTCGACATCAAAAGTTGGATCCAAATGATATACAACTTCATCATTGTCAATTATGTCCTAAAGCGTTCTGTCATGCATCTGGACTAAGTAGGCATTTAGTTACACATACTGGTAGAACGTACAAGTGCGTCGAATGCGAGAAAACTTTTACCGATAAGAGTTCACTTTTAAGGCACAGTCATATTCACGCACCTAAAAAGATTACATCGAATTAATATTGAACGAATATCAAGGTTACGTCTTATTTCCAGTTAAAAAAAAAAAAGCAAAATAAGAATTTTACTTCTTTGGGTCCAGTTGTACATTTTTTATAAAAAGAAAAGGAAATATTCAAACTTTTATAGTTATAAATGAAAATCATTCTTAACTGTTGTCATATATATGTGAGGGTTCATTAATTGACATCTCATTTTAAGTTAATATAAATTATAAATTGTAATACACATATAACTGACCCATAGAAACTTCGTATATCACAAAAAGGTATATTAAACCTTTTTTTTTAATTACTCATTTGATTAACTTGTATTTAACAATTATTTTTACTATTTCTTCTTTCACTCTTTATATAAATCTATGGAAAAAAAAAAATGCCGATTACGTTACAGCATATATACTTTTGTACAAAATTGTAGCGGATATAACGTTTTTTGCTATTAAGATCTATATTGTATTATGTGTATAATTCAAAATTAGGAAAATTCTTTTTTTGCCAATTGTAAAGGCAATTTAAAATATTTTTTTAGATAGAAAAGTTTTTAAAAAAAGAAAACTAAATTGGACCTTTCAATGTATAATATTCATAAAGACCTTATGTACTATGTACACCATTAAATATATATTCTATGTATATATCTATAAATATACAATATATTGATGGTAAATAATGATTTTTTACCTGATGTAAATGTCGTTCACCTTTCATATAATAAGTTTCAAAGATTATATATACGATGTTCGATATACATGTACATTTACTATATAATTCGTATGATAACTTTATTATTAAATACAGGATGAAATTTATGTACACAATCATAATTATTTTTACTCGCTAAACGTTAGACAGACACATTTTTTCTTTCTTCCTTGGCAATGCTATTTAACTTTATAAAATGCAAAACTTATATACCATTCTATAATATGTAGAGATATAATTATCTATTTGCGAAATGTTTCTTTTCATGGGGTATCGTCATGTTTGCAAATTCAACTTTTCCATATATATATATACTTGTTTTTTAATTCTGTGCAATATTATATCATTAGTAGTTTGATGTTGTAGGAAAGATTATGGAAAAATTTGTCGACTACTTGATATTGCATGATATTTATAATTCTATCTACAACGCATAATCCTTCTATTAAAGCGATAGTAATTCGAAGTGTACTTGCATCGAGCGAATAATAAATGTTAAAAATTGATTATATTATTACTCGAATGTTGCTTTGAACATTTCATAAAAACTACACAAAGTTATGATCATTAGTATACTATTTGTTATTTTTTGCAAATATTATTCATTTAATATACATTGTTATTACTATTATTAAATATTAAGATCATTTAAAAATTTTCTTTAAAAGAAAAATAAAACGCTCAATGTATTGTTAAGTACACTGCAACACTATTACTTTTAAACGGCAGTAGAGAAAGAATAAATAAAGAATCATTACGCAATGTATATTAAAGATGAAGAATATTCCTAATACTCGTTACGATTTTTTATAATAATAATATGTCAAGTACATATGACAGAGTTCAGTATTCTCATTATTACTATTCAAATATCGTACAAAGTAGCCTAACAAAATTTTAAGTTTTTCACGTATTGTGCTATGAAAACGCCATTATATATTGAATAGATAAATATATTTCATTCTATAATGCTGCTATATCATTTAATAATAGACCACACGTTATATATATAAATATATATATATAACGATCGAGTGACGTGAATTGTTAGAAAAAAGAAAGTAGATAAATAAATAAATAAGAAGAGCGAAAAATTCAAAGAAAGAGAAAACAAAGCAGAAAAAAACAAAAGGAAGAACAAAAGCGGAAGAAGAGTTTTTTGACCGTTTATTAAAAAAATTTATTTTATTATAATTCATGTATATTATGATCACTTTTTTGTGCATTTTTAATTACATTGCCAATGTTGATAAATGTATATATATCATCAGATCAAGGAAACTTGCAAAGTTTCTTCGATTAATTTTTTTCCTTTTACACACATTTTCGTCATTGTTTAAAATCATAATTGGTACTACATATCAATCATTCGTTTTATATTTAAAAAATTGAATTAATTTCTCTCATCATGTCGAGCTTAATAACAAATCTATGTTGGAACGTTTTACTATGCATAAGTTAATAAATCGGATTATTAGATTATGTCCGCTCTTAATTCAGATTCAGAATTATTATGAAAATCATTTTTTTTTTTCGATAAAACCAGATTATTATCATTATTATTATTACTATTATTCGATAATTATTTACTAATGTGATTACTATCTACATGATGTGGCTACATAAAATTCACGAGACATATGTCACAGTCAATAATATATGTGAAATAATTATTAAATCAATACATATATATATATATATATATATATATATATAGATTTATGTATGAAAATTATATGAAAAAGAAAAAAAACTCATATAATTTCAACATAATAAAGTNAAACGAAGGGAGCGCGAGATATCGAGAGTTACGAAGTCGATAACTCGGTAAGGCCGGTAGTACTGTGAAAGCATATATATATATATATATATATATATATATAGATTTATGTATGAAAATTATATGAAAAAGAAAAAAAACTCATATAATTTCAACATAATAAAGTTGTGTTATTATCCAATTATCGTAAGCATAAACAATTTTTTTTTCTTTTTTCCATTGTTTTTTGATAAATACTTATTAGTTCACGAATTTTCTTTATTTCTTTGTATTCTTTTCTTTTTTTCTTCTTCTCTAATTATATATATATATATACTAAAAACTAGTTTCCGTCAAATCTTTACGACGTGTAATGTCTGCTATTAGATTCAAGAGGAATTAAAAAGGAGGAGCAAAGGACTGTCCACGCCGTCGTATCGGATTATGCACAAAATTTGTACTATGCCTGTCATGATTATAGACACGACATATTTTCCATGGCGTATTAAAAATCTAATGTAGATGACAGACCACTGGTCTCCCCCCGTTTTATATTATTGAATTTAAAAATAAAAAGAAAAAAAAAGAAGAATTAAGTAATATAAAATAATCAAATAAATTAAGATTAAAACCGAATAAACATGTGGCGAATGTAAATCCAAAGATTTTGAATTAACTTTGATGAGATAAAAGATTTCGCTTCATGGATATAAAGGGAGGGAGGCAGAGGGAAAGGGGAGAGAGAGAGAGAGAGAGAGAGAGAGAGAGAGAGAGAGAGAGACAAAGGAGGGCAGCCAAGGAGCAAGGGGAAGAGGATAAGTAATTATTAAGACGCTCTAAATGAGTAACGTCTAATGATTTAGTACGCATCCTCTCATCAATCGAGGTTCAAAATTTTTGGTTGTTCCCATGTAAACCCATCACGACCAAAATGACCGTATGTACTGGTCTGTTGATAAATTGGATTACGAAGATTCAACTCTCTGTAAAAAATGTTAAGTATTATGTATTTAATATTTGGAATTATTTTGTTTTTCTAACATAATATCTTGTTCGAATTTTGTATATATGAATTTAATGTAGTATGCAATATTATATTAAAAAAGATATTCTTTAAGTGAGTAAAAATTATTTGATATTGTTCGAGTTGATATGAAATAATGTTAATACTAATGAAACAAGAATAGAAATATACTTACTTAACAATTTTTCCTGGCCGTAAATCAAAATTTTTATTAACTATACCTAATAGTTCATTCTGTGATAATTTTGAAGTACCATAGTCAAAGACTGTGATAGAAAGGGGCTCGGCAACACCGATGGCATATGAAACCTGAAAAATGAAATACATTAATATAAATTAATTCAATAATTAAAAATTAAATAAGAAAAATATTATTTCAAATAATCCAATAATTGTACCTGTACAAGACAGCGTCTGCAAAGACCTGCTTTTACAAGAGATTTAGCAACCCATCTCGCAGCGTATGCAGCTGATCTATCAACTTTAGTGAAGTCTTTGCCAGAAAATGCACCACCCCCGTGGGCTCCCCATCCACCGTAAGTGTCTACAATTATTTTACGACCAGTAAGACCAGCGTCGCTCTGTAAAAAATAATTTACGATTATATATATCTAAAAAGATTTAATATTTTGTATTATATATATTACTTGCAAAATATTGATTTTACCTGTGGTCCACCGATGATAAAAAGTCCACAAGGATTGACGTGGAAAACTGTTCTATCATCGAGATACCTTGCTGGAATAACTTCTTTTATAACTTTTTCCATAACAGCTTTACGTAATTCATCCAAGCCAATTTTTTCACTGTGTTGCAAAGATACGACAACTGTGTGAACTCTTATTGGTACGCAAGCTCCATGATCCATGATGTATTCACATGTGACCTTAATAAGAAAAAAATTACATTAAATATTTATAACTTCTGTGGTATTGCGACGACAACCAATTTGTGTTTTATATTAAATAATACATTGTATGACTGATTATTCTCAGAAATGTGTTCTCTCATCATGGCACTCAAGAGTAGCAAATACAATTAAAAAAACATCATTGAATAATCTCTTATAAAGAAAATTATCTATGTATAGATGAAAAAGAAAACAAATACAAACCTGTGTTTTAGAGTCTGGTCTTGCCCACCATAATTCTCCGCTTCGTCTTAATTCCGCTATCTTTTGATTTAATTTGTGTGCTAATACAACTGTCAATGGCATACATTCGTCAGTTTCATCTGTTGCATAGCCGAACATCAGCCCCTGATAGTAAAAATTTCAATTAATACGATTGAAATTTATATTAGAAAAATATATTTAAAAGCAAATAATAAAAACAATATTTGGTAGCAACGAGATACAAGTATTTTATTAATTCATAAAACATAAAGAGAGTTAAGCACATTTCTTTCTTTTATAATGCATATACGTATAGAGTACTAAAAGTATAATAAATATAAATAAATAAAAGACAGAGAGAGAGAGAGAGAGAGAGAATATTAAGAAAATAAATAATACAAATAATAAAAAGGTATTATATTGTGCATGCAAAATAAAAGGTGCTACACAGAGCAGAATAATATTTGGAGATCAAAGTTTTTGGGGTTTTTTAAAGTATATCAATGATTTAGTTAACAATATAAAAATGATATGATGAAAATAAAGAAAATGTAAAAAATGATATCTTGACATGTGTATATACAGCGTAAGTGTGCACCTATGAATTAAATGACTGCAAATTAAAAAAAATAAAGATGTATTATCGTAGGCATAAGGAATGAAGATATGAAATTTGATAGCGCTGTTATATCACTGTTATATCGCTGATTTATCAATAAGGAAATATATACAGAAACACATTGCAAGATTGGCTACTAAATAAATTTAGTAGAAAAAAGAACATCGACAAAAGGAATAAAATTGATTAACAGAAAAAGAATAGGTTTCTTTTTGTTGTACGTAGCATGAAAAGCACAATTAATTAAATTACAAAAAGACATAACTACTTTTTCAAAAGCACAGGTTTTTTGAGCCTACAGTTCTAAAAAAAAAAAAGTTAAATATGTACGCACGTGTATCTAAAAAGAAGCGTAGAAAAATAAATATTAACACTACTTTAACAAAGAGCTACTAATAGATAACTACAGTAAGATTGTTAATAACAGAGAGAAATAAGAATTAAATTATTTATATTATATATATATATATATATATATAAGAGAGGAGGAGAACAGAATAGCTGAAATAAACGAAAGAGCGCTAATTGACCTGGTCTCCTGCTCCTACTTCCTCATCGCTACGATTTTCATGAACGCCCGCGGCTATATTTGGTGACTGAGCATCAAGAGCCAAAAGAACACTGCACAGCTTGTAGTCAAAACCTGTAGAAATGATGGGTATGAGAAGAATGATCACCATTCCGTATAGAATAACATTGTCAGCTTATGTTGATATTTTTTTTTTAAATCCTGTTATCCCATGTAATATTAATAATACACAGCTCATGTTTCCTAAATTAAAATAATTATGCTTTTAAATTATATTTTGTCGTCTAACTTAATTGAGATATGATTGAATATACATAGAACAGTGTAAACATATCAAATCAATTTAAATGTTAACGATATATATATATATATTCCCTAATTATTAATGTCTATCTAAATCTCCTATGTATTGTCCGGATCATTTCTACTTTTTAATTAATGAAAATGATGCGAGTTTAAATTTTAAGGAACATAAATGTGTATATATTATCTTAAGATAGTTGAAGTTACTTTAATTAAAACGCACGTACACATAGGCACATATGTGAGTGCGTGTTAATACCTGCGGATACATTTAAGAGGAAAAGGAAGATTTGTATAAAATTAAAGAAAAGAACAGGGAAGATCGTTGATATTAAATAATTATTTGGCTGCTCTGTGGCACGGGCTGAGAATCGATAATGTACCTGATCACCAGCACCCAAGTCCATCTCTTCCCTGTCCACATGAACACCATCAGCGATATTTGGAGATTGTTGTTCTAGTGCCACCAAAAGGTTCAACGTACGCCAGTCGAATCCTGCCACGACCATGATACGCTTACGTTACATATTCTTATGCATTCGCGCTTAATATTCTTCCGTATGATAATGAATGCGATTAAACGTACCTCTCATCGATCGAGTCATGGAAATTTTCCAAGTCCAACATCTTATTATATATAAATGACATATGTAGCGTAAAGCATATCTTATATATAAATATATATATTTTATATAATATTCGTATATAAATGACAAATCTTTCAAAATAATGCAATAAAGTATTTTGATGTTTGGTGCTTGCAGCTATCGTGCCATGATTCGACCGTGTATTCATAAATTTAGCTATGAACAATATGAATTGGGGGCAATTGAAGTCAAATTCGGTCATGGGTGGCCATGCATATATGTCGGTTAATTTTTTTTTTCTTTCTTTCAATGCTATTATTATATCCGTATAGCTAATATTTAAGAAATATAATGTAGTATAAAAATTATCCAAAATAGATCATAAATAGTATCAAAAGAAATGCTTGTGTTAATTCATATCTCTATAGAAAACTATTTTACCTTTGGAAGAGTCATCATAACCAATATGGTTAACAGTCTCACGAACAATCTTTTGGTAATCTACCACCGCTTTAGATGTTATCTCTCCACAAAGTAGTATCATTCCTGTTTTAGTGACTGTTTCTGTAAAACATATATTAAACAAATAAAATATTTCAATTAAAATTAGGATTGAAAAAAATTATGCAAAATAGAAAGAAGAGATTTTTACCGCAAGCAACTTTGGCATCGGGATCTTGTTTCAAATGTGCATCCAGAATGGCATCACTTATTTGGTCACACATTTTATCTACAACAAATTTAATCATAACAATAAGAGTTGTATAATAATTGGATTTGTATTTACTGTTCAGTCATTTTGTATCCACTGCTTTGTTTAAATGAAAAAGATAGATAAAAAAGTGAATGATCTAGACAAAAAAAAAAAAAAAAAAAAAAAAAAAAAAAAGAAGACATCAAAAAAGATAAATTAAAATTTTTGTCAGCATTTGAAATAAAATCATATATTGTAATATATGCAAACGTACATGACGTAAACAATCAAATTTTTAATCAAAATGATATTGCACGGTATTAACATCCTCTTGCTGAAAATTGCTTAATATCGTCGACAACGTGCTCGCTTAACCTCGAAATTCATTTCATTGGATATTCCAGAGCATTCTAAGATAAAGTATAAAGTAAATCCAACGGACATTGTTACTTAACAATCGAAGTTTTAAATAAGTAGAAGAAGAAAGGGGGAGGGGGTGGGAAAGGGTTGCTAGAAAAGAGAGAAAGGCGGAGAAAAGAAGAAAGGAAGAAAAAAGGAAGCAAGAAGAATTGAAGAGAGGCGTGCGCACGCGGGACGATGGTGAACATACATTATATCGTTTGCTTCTCGATTACCAAAAATTTTCATGGCGGCATACAACACGCGATCAAAGTTGAGCACCTCTTTCTCTCTCTCTCTCTCTCTTTCATAAAAGAAGTAGGAGAGAGAGAAGCAGATGAACGTAAAATGAACATGTAGAAAGAGATACAAAATGATGCGCTTTTTAATCGTTTCGAATGAATAAACTAGTACCTAAGGTTAGGTCTAATATATGAGATTGAATTTAGAGTTTACCTGGATGTCCTTCACCAACCGACTCGGAGGTGAATAAAAAAGTAGTATCCTGCTGAAGTTCGGGCGGTGTGTGCCCGTTCGCGTATCCATTCATGTGGTGCGCGGTTTCCGGCATTTTTCTTTTTTTCGACGACGTCTTTGCCGTTTACTTTAATCCTTTCTTTTCGTTTATTTTACACACACACACACACACTCTCTCTATGTTCTGTATTATTAGTGTGTTGGTCTAGAGATTTCTTCTATCTTTCGGTCTCTTTCTATACTATTCGTTTTTTTTTCTATCTTTTTTTCTCTCTCTCTCTCTCTCTCTCTCTATCTATCTCTCTCTCCTTTACCTCTTCGTGTTCTTCTTGTTCTCTCTTCTGTTCTTACTTCGTAGCCCTAATGGTTTCTCGGCACGCGTTTTAAGACCGTCCGTTCCCGATTCTTTTCCTTCTTTGTCGTGTAACAGTCTTAAATAGGTAAATTCGTGGAATTAAAATTGGAGTAACGTGTTCGGGTATTGTTTAATAGACGCCGACTTTGTCTCTTTTTTTCTTGGTTAATTACTTTTTTTCTTTCTTTTTCGTTTCTTTTCTATGATATTCCTCCTTAAAAGCGCGAAACGAACTCAACAGAAGCACAGCGCACGACGTAATGGTCAGACGGGCGAATGCACCGAGTGAACGTATGGGCAGTTAAAGAGGCTCCCCGCACACTGGCGCCCGTTATTTATAACCTTCGTTCATCGGCTCCAACATCGGTTAACTTCGGGTCACGTGGTATTCCGTCTCCCGGGATACGAAGATTGGCGCGAAATTTGTTTTTATTACTAATCAAATCTTATCGCTCTTCTATCATTCTTGCTCTTATTTTTATTTTTATTTCCCGATAATAATGACTTTGCATATTATTGTTCATTGATATTTTTTCATACATTTTTGAAAGATTATTATTATTATTATCGATAATTATTTTTCAAATTTTATCGAATGTTTTAAAATTATTTATTGCTTTTTTTCACAAGTTTACATCATTGTTTTTCTAAGAAGTAATAGTCATCGCAATATGATGCATGATGATATGATGATATAATGAAATATTCTGATTTGCTTATTAGATTTTTTTTAACACGCTCTACTTTAACGATTATTTGAAATTTTGATAACTATTGTATGTGGCATAATTATAAAATTTTATTGTTCGATGGATGATTTTATTTGCAAGAACCTAATATCTTCTTATTTTATGCTTTGTAATGATTTTTATGTTTAACGAACGTCACAATTGTAATAATAATACGGTAAATACATTTTATATTCGTGTTATCGCGTTATCATTTCAAAGTTGTGTATTCGATCTTTGCTTCGGACGTACTAAATTTAAATTTGATTTTTTTAATTGTCTTTTGTAAATTGGCAACGCTCTTTTACAATACGTGACAATAGCAATAAATTAAATTCATATTCTTTGATGTAGCATATGCAACAGTTATTTATATTCTATAACAGAAATAAGAATAAACGTATAAATTGCTTAGAAATTTTAATTTCATGCTTGCGCATGTCTGTGTACGTCTGTGTATATAAATTATGAAATATTATTTAAAAGTATTCAACTATCGATGATTGTTTACTTAAAAATTTATATAAAAAATGTGGCAATCATAAAAATAAAAAATTAATTATTTACGAATTGTATACAAATGAATTTAATAATTTTTTTATACAAGGTTCTTTCTTCAACACTAATGCAACGGATATAAAATTATGACACTTATTATTAATACTCGTATAAAATAACTAAAGATTTTATGACATATAAATATTATAATCTTTAAAAGAAACAAAAGAAGATAAACTTCAAGGTCGGAAAACTAAAATGAGTATAAAAAAAATGAATTTTTCTATCGATTGGAATTATTCCGAACGTTGCATTGGCATTTGTTCCACTTATTGCTCGATAATTGAATGATGGGATTAACAACAATTAATTAATCAACAATTATATTTTTTAAATTCATAACAATTGCATTAACAATAATTCTATTATTTTTTTAAACAATACAAAAAGCACAATTTATAGGCATGGATTATTACGCAAATGAATGTAAATACATAAAATAATATAATACATAAAAAAATATTTATGTGTTTGTATTAGTAAAATAATTTTTGTGTAATTTTTAACCAATAATTTATTTTTCAAACGAGCTTGTTTATCATTAAAACTGTGCTCGAAGAGATGATGTTATTGCATTAAGACTCTACGTAATTATATATCTTACGTCATTATAATATTCATATAAATGTACCATGTGCTTTGATAGAAGAAGATCGTCATAATAATTAATGAATAAGCATTACTTGCTTATTGTAGAGTATCAACATTTCGCAATTAAGTATACATTGCAGTATCATTCTAGTATCAATTCGAAGTAATCTGTCGAGATATTTTTGCATTAAAACATCAATCTCTTCACAAAAATATTTTTAGAATTACGCCTATTTGTCTATTTCTTTTTCTTTTAATTACAGCTATAATATTTGATCAAATTAAAATATCTTTTAGTTGTTATAGAAATAAAATGACAAAATTTTTGGTAACGTTATCAAAATATCCATGTAGGTTCGATATTTAATAATTCTGTTACAATACGTCAATCGATAGATCGATAACTAAGTTGATAAGAATGATTTCTTGTTAACAATTTTATATCTTCATATTTTTTTTTTCTATCTCTTCCTCTCTTTTTTTTAGTTCAAAGTTGTTTCATAATTCATTTACTTTTCAATAGCTAATTCAACTGACTTATCATCGATAATAAATGAACTTGATAAACATTGAATATATTTGTAGACCAATTAGCAATGTTTCTGTTTTTTTTCGTAAGAAAAAAAAAATTCCCGAGCAAGGAAAAAATAAATACATACATGGTTATTGGTAGGTGATGAAATAATTAACAAAATGAAATGTACAAATGAAAATAAAGAGAGAGAGAGAGAGAGAGAGAGAGAAAGAGGGGAAAAAAGTAAAATAAAAATATATAAGATAAGAGAGGAGAGATAGAACGATGATTTAATAGATAATTTTTTAATTATGCTGTTAAAAGAACGATATATTTAGCATAGTCTTCAAAAGTTATTATTATCTCGCAGTTTAAAAAAGTGTTAGTAATGCTTATGAAAATCAAGCGGATTTAATTTCTGCTTAATCAGCTTAGAACGGTTGTACTTACACGTGCCTAGAATTAGTCGACGGAAAAAGAATTTGTGATAATATATATTTATATATATACATATTACACCATTCATCATTCCTGAGTTTATCTCAATCGATAGATTCGACCGATAGTCGATTCTTATCGAATTCGTTTAATTTTAAATAAATTCTAAAATCAATCGTAAAATAAACGATTGCGTTTATTTATTTTAATATTATCTTTTTTTATTTTTGTTATATATACTAAAATTTACTTTTACAACTTGATAATCATCTTAAACGTTACCTACTTAAATATCTACATTTATTACTTAAATTTTTGTTTATTAAATCATCAAGACGTTCGCTTTCTTACTTTTTCATACAAGAATATATATACGTGATAAAGATATGATATGATATTAATTTCAATAGTAGAATATTTAGTAAAATACAAGTAAAAACAAGTTTATATGATTGAAAAATAACGAGATATTCAAATTTTTAAATATCCACTATTAATCGTATTATCTGTAATAAAAAAAAAAAACTATATAATTAAAAATACATTGAACTATTTTATTTTGTTCGGTAGAATATTGTCGAGATAGCACGCTGATAAGATATTCCTTTGCATAATCCTTTACATAAAAGGTCGGTCATAGAAGGCAACCAAAAATAGAGTCACGAGTTCTCTGAAAAATAAAGACAAATTTCTTTTACAATGGGAAAAAAAAGAAAGGAAATAAGAGAAAAGAATAAAAAATGGAGTGTTTTTGTAATTTTGGTATACAAAAATATTTCATACATCTCGTGTCAGATTATTTCATAATTTAAATTACAAACAGTTCGATTCTTTTATTATTATTATTATTTCTTTGTAAAAAAAAAAAAAAAAAAAAAAAA